AAACTGTGTCCAATTTTTTTGATTATAATGAGAAATAGAAAATATAGAGGGGAATAATTAAGTTTGCAGGTCACTAAATAAATGGAGACTTAGGACTTTAAAATATTTGTCAACAATTTCCAATTTAAATTTAAAGCATCTTGATCAACGTTTTAATAAGATACACAAATATGGGGATTTTAGGTTTGAAGGTTAACAACAATGACAGTTGTTATACCAAAGCACATTATGAATCAGCCAGCACTACGTTCATGGCTCACTGTGACTTGCAGCTGCTTCCTACCATCTACAGGAGAGTTGATGAGGATGACCCGACCCATGGGCGAGGAAGATCGGATTCCACGGCGACGTTGTTCCTTCTTTCGTAAGAGGTTGCGTGTCGCCGTGTGCAAACCTTGTGCCGCTGGACCCTTTTCCCTGCGGGACGGATTTGATGAGGAAGCCATGGTGGCTGGATGGTTCTCCTTTCACACACACACTCCCCCAGCCAGTCAGCTCCAGGTGAACAAGTCTAAAGGGAATCAATTAGAGTAATTCAATTTAAAAAAAGTGAGACTCATCTCTAGACTCATCTCTAGATTCCTTTGACTGATTCACTCCTGTTAATTTTGCTGATTAAGTTCCGTTTCTCAGAACACTAAGATGTTAGATAAGGCAAACACGGAAGTGGGTCTACTGAAAAGTATGTTCAGATACAATATAGAAAGCTAATACTTGTTGGGTCTACTTTTGCATAAATTACTAAATAAATAGAGGTGCAATCACCGTGTAACACACGCCGGGTTAATTTTAATAATTGTCTTAACTCATCCACATCATTGGTTCCAGCGTCCTTAATCATCATCTTGGCAACGCTCCATAGATTCTTTGTGATTCAGGTTAGGACAGCTTGCTGGCCAATCAAGCACAATAACTCTAACATTGTCATTTCCATTCATCTGAATAGAGGACGTTGAATCCATAAACAATAGATCATCTACTGTATCTTTCTAAGATATTTCTGAATTTGTCTGTACATAGCCTATACATGTTGTTCTTACTGTATATATAACGTGTCAATTTAGCCATTTGCCAATAATGTGAAAGTTGTGGCTATCACTGGTGATTTCACCCTTCATCAAAATAGATTGATATTCTACTTTACTTACTGTGAGAGTTATTGTTCTCTATCTGTAAACTCCAATCATTACAGCAGACAAGAATGTCAACTCTGGGTGCCTAAACTATACGAGCCTCACTTTTTGAATAACTTTAACGTTATACTGACACTTCAGTCTACTGAGATGCCTGTCCAGGTTTTTGTGTGATATTTCTTAGTCTCCACTCACTCATGTAGGTTGTTCTCTGACATATTTGACTCTTTGTCCCCCTGGAATCACACTTCGGTCCATTCCGCTCCATGTTGCATCTCCCTCACCTGTCTGAATTTCCAAACAAAAACAGACACATTTACCTCACACCCCATCAGTCCTGCTGTCCTCGAGCTTCATCAGATCACATCCCATCACAAAAACTGCGTCTCAGAGGGTTTTAACTGCAGCAGGTGAGCTCAGAAATAGGATTTCGTGGGGTTATTTAAGGCAGACTTGATCCCCTACAGCTAGGAAGTCACATGCCGTCTCCGTGGTTATGTGTCACTAAACGTAATAGTCTGTCCACACGTCGTTACTTTGGGGTTCCCTCGAGCTCTGGAGAGACTCCAGGACCCTGGACAGCGCAATTTAAAACTGCGGCTGCGCCAACGAAATTTAATCCATCATTGTAAGAGGACAAAAACAGAGGTTATATTGTGTTTTTGTAAAGCATTTCCTAGATATCGTGTAGACTACATGACTAAAAAGCTATTCGCCAACTATGGAAAGTCCTAACTTACCAAACATTTGCGTTTCGAGTCCAGAACGAAACCGATACAGGGAAAGCCTCTCCGGTTCTGTATTAATCCAACTTGATAAGCACGATCAATAAAAGCGTCCTTTGAATGATCCCACGGGGGTCGAGAAAAACAAAACGATCGCAAACTGCTTACGTATTCGTTTGTGCGAAACGCGTTATCCACCTGGAATTCACGAAACGCCACAACGAAATGACCGTCAGCAAACAATGGCGTCTGATTGGATGCCTGGCATTGCGATTGACACTTCCTTACAAGTTCGCCTTATCACATGGAAACACCACTTAAAAAAAAAAAAAAAAGTTTTCAAAAAATGCTAAAGGCTCATTTAGCACATTTATAACAAACTTATTTTTAATAGTGATGCGAGGCTTAAACAATTTAGCCAGAAAAAGAACCAACCTGCAGTCTTAGAATTACTCTCAAGTACCTCTGGGGAGGAAAAAAAATAAAAAATAACCAAGCAAAGGATTCAGATCAGACTCTCGCACATCACCCAATCAGGTCAAAGGTTTTTCTGCTGTAAGACATTCTGAATATTGGCATTGAAATCTTATAATTAGAAACACCAAACTGTAATTTTGGTATAGTAGCAACCTCAAAACAGGGACACTTTTAACTGTACACTTTTACACAAAACAGAGACAAACCAAACCAGAGGATAACGAGATGCTTTATTGTTCTGAAAGGTCAGTCCATGGTCCCAGAGTTTCTCTGCAGTACAACATACATGGAACTTTGTGTTAAACATCAAGTCTGCTTGCTCTGGCGAGTTTAAAAACAGACCATCATGAACACACCCAACGTTTCATGAGCAGTCATACACAATGAAATCCTCATGTCCCAGAGGCAAACCTTGATTCACATATCTAGAGCTGTGCTTTGTTTTACTGTGGTATTTTTCTGACTGCTTGGAGGACATCTGAAATGTTGACTTTATCCCCAAACTCCTTCTCTCTGTGCTCCAGTAATATTCCCTGCAGGAGAGGAAAAAAAAAAAAAGTTTGACAGATCAATTTTATACAAAACACATTTTATGTCAATTCTTGATCAAATTAAGATTTACCTGCTGGCCTCGGCCAATGACAAACACCCCACCAAGGACAAAGCCTTCCCCTAAAACATTTCCAATGAAGCCCTTTCTGAAGGCCCTCACTCCACTCAACCAGACTCCTAAACGCATGAAAGCCAGAAGTCCCATCTTCCGCTCACGGGGCCCATAAAACCTCCTCTGCAAGCAAAGTAGAATTAGTCAGTCGTGCAAACTGAAGATTCATTTCAAACTCAATGAGCTCAGTGTTCATAAAACACACTGGTAAAACAGTCTGGTCTGAAGGAGGGTTCCACTGATCATTTTGCTCTCCAAGGCAAGCTGGCTAAACAATGCACCACTTTATTCATTTAAAATAAATAAAAAGCCTTAACCTTTTCATCCAAGAAAATCTCCCCCTTGAAGTATGGTCGGAAGTTCTGAACCTCGGTTCCCACGTCTTCCTTCACCACAGCGTACAGAGGGACCCCCAGCGTGTCCAGCTGGGGTTTCAGAGAGGACAGCTCTGCAGCCTCCTGTTGGAACAGTGAGGAGAACATTTGAAAAATATGAAAAAGGGTTTATATTTTAAAGCAGTTGATGTGTTCCAGGATCTTTTAAATAATGAAATTTTTTTTAAATATTTGAAGAAAATGAACATTTTATAAAACATTCTTAAATACTATAATTAAGAGTTCAGAATAGGTTGCAAAAGCAGCCTAGAATTTCCCTTGGCTCAGTTTAAGGACCAGGGATTGAACTAATCTCCTTTTCCACAAGAGGGAAAAAAAAAAAAAAAAAAACAAACAATGGGAACAATGTTTGAGGATGCCCAGAATAAAATTTGAACTTTCTTGCCCAAGAATTTACAAAACAGCATACCCTATAAACACACTGCACATACCGACATACTGAGAAAATGTGTGGATGACAAGAAAAGGGGCGGCAGGAAGGAAGGAATATTAAAAATAACATAAATAAATGGGCGTTTTGTCTCAGGGTGAACGGTTCGTGGATTATAAATGCTGCCTGGATAGATTGTAACATTACCTCTCTGCACAAAAATCACCCGGGTCGCCGTACTGCCATGACTACCGCGCCAGACTTTTCCCAAAGTGTTTTGGCCTTGAACGTCTTTATTTCTGGGGAAAGCAAAGAGATCGAAGGGCGTGACGTGAGCAAGAGATTAAAAGTCATGTGGTCCAGCAGCACAATGGTTTCTTTCAAAACAGTTCATGAGAGTCAAGAGACTTTCCTAAATAAAGTTTACGTTTAATACGCTGTTCAGAACCTACCTCCTTTCAGGGTTTTAAGCTCAGCTTCCCCCAAGAACATCAGAGTGGCTTTCAGGGGTGGAGTGAGAAAGAAGTCCGTGAAAAAGTTCAAGACTCCCGTGACAAGGCCACCCACGGCAGCCACTGTGTCACCAATAAGTCCCATAGCCATTTTTTGCCCGTTTCCCCCTCACTGCATTCACTCCAATGTTACCAGACCACGACTGTGGGAGCGCATTTAAACTGCAGCCTCCACCCTGCAGCCCAAAGCCAGCCCCCTTTCTGCTGGACCCAGATCCCGATTAGTGTCAGATTAGCTGCAGCTGCTACAATCCACAAGAAAAAAAACACAAAAAAATGATAAAGGGTGGGGGAGGGGACAGATTTTAGGAAACAGTCATCGTTACGCAGTTGAACCTTCTTCAGGTCAAAGGTTGTTGCAAAATGCAGTCACATTTATGAAATGTCAAATTTCATAAATCTGCTGTGAAATCTGGCAGATTTCTGCTTTGATATTATAAAACAAAAATAGACCCAGGCTTGTGCAATATTGTTAGATGAGTGACATTACTTACCAGGCACCACATGGGAATGTAAGTCCAGAACCAAATTCCCAAATGGTTTGCAAAAGAATCAGTACCTCTTGGTGCCTTTCCATAGGTAATGTGAAACCACAACCTGTAGCATATTTCCATTTCCATTCGAATTTATGATCTTGGTTGACTTGATTTATTTCTCAGTGCTAGATAGCATTAAATAAAACAAACAGATTGATTGGTATCTCTCCAGGTAAAGTTTATTGTTGGGTAACAGTTTGTGTGTGTGTGTGTGTGTGTGTGTGTGTATGTGTGTGTGTGGGTGTGGTGTGTGTGTGTGTGTGGGGGGGGGGGGTGCGCGCGTGTGTGTGTGTATAGTTTGGAAAGATGTAAATCATTTAAGAGCCAGTCTCTAGAAATATGACCTCTGTTTTCAATCTTTGAGAGATTCATCAGGCTGCCTTGGCTGAGTCACGGTGATCATTCCGGTGAGGGTTCACTTTCAGACGGAGTCAAGTCATGCCTCATCCCCGAGCTGCTCCTCTGTATCCTAAGATTGTGCATCGACAAACATCACAAATAAACACTAAACGTCTTGCAAACATTTCTCATTTACACTGTAATTGTTTATCTGCAAACAGAGGTGAATAAAAAGCAAAACCAATTTACATTTTGAAGTGAATTAGTCCGGTCTTCAAGAGTGGGGGAACTTGTTTCTTGTATCTCCTCACTTAATTCACCAATGCTTTCTTGATCAGGATTTGTCTCCTCTTGTCCAAGATCTTCACTCTGTGGGCGTGAATCTGTCTCTAGTGGGGCGAATTCTTCAGATCTATTTTCATCTTCATCCTAAGTATTGATGCAGATCAAACTTAGATTATGGAAATGTAATAGTCCCTGTCTTTCCTGTGAAGCAACACAAACCTCTGCGGTGTGATGAAAACGGTATTTGCTCCCTTACATATTTGCTTCTGTTTGCTGTTTTATCACACTTAACTGTTTCAGATAATCAAAGTGATGTTGCTGCCAGTCAAAGATAACCTGAGCAAAACAAATGCTTCCAGTTGATGATTTCATTATGACGGAATTTAGTGACTGTGATTTTAGCAAACCAGTGAGGGAATCATATGCAAATGGAGGACAGAAAACAACTGAAATAATAACTAACGCTCTGTAGGCGTCACGTTTGCTAAGGTCAGTAATCATGAGTCAACAATAATAGGGACCAAGTTCCAAAGTGAAAACCCTTTGCTGACCAAAAAGAACTAAAAAGCTGTGCAGTGTTTACCAAAGGCACATCCTGGTGATTCTCAAGAGTTTCGGATGTTGGATATTGTTCTGGTCTGGGGCTCTATCATTTTTTTCCACGTGATCAGATTGGTTTGAATGACGTCTTTACCGTAATGAATGAAATCATTTGAGAAATGTATTTTACATTTACTCAGGTTGGCCTACGCCGATAGTAACTCATCTCCTGGTCAGCGACATCTAAGTGACAAAAAAAGCAAAAACAGAAGAGATCTCTGCATGCCATTGTGTCCCTTCTTCTGGTTATCGGCCTTATTTTTAAGCAAATCAATCAGTCGTTTAAACTTTATTTGCTTAGCCACTCTCGCACAACTCAATGCTACACGAAAGGCTATAAAAGACTAAAACCGACCCCACTGAAAACAAAAACATCAAAGAGTCACAACAGTTGGAAAACCCATGCAGCAATAGAGATTTGAATCTTTCAGTGTTTCGGGAAAGATTCCCAAACCAGGAAAGATTCCCAAACCAGGAATGAATATTATCTCAGCTTTGTCCTGGTCGGGTTGTAAGAAATGACTTATCACTGCTGCTCTCTTTGACCTGGAGCCAAAGATATCAGTGGTATCATTTGTATGACTGTCAGCCAGCTGACGTAAGAGGAAAGTTCTGGTTGAGCATTGAATAACCAGGGCCTGTGGCTTTTTCCTGAACAGTTTGCAGCTTCTAAAACCTCTCACTGCGGCAAAGAGCTAAAAACAGGATATAGTTATCATTGAGCTCTCTTGAAGAGAGCTGAGTACCTTGCTCTGCAGATCCCCTTCAACAGGCTCCTCAAGCTTTTTCTCTGCTTCATCAGCCTGGAAATGAAGGAAAGAAAAGAAGTTAAACTAAATATGCTAAAGTGACACTTCAATCTAACAAACTTCATAGTCCCATATGTGGTAACCATGTTTTCCTGGCAGCCATATTAGAACTTTGCTACCTTTGATGCTCAATGGGATCAGAGCCTCTTGGAATAAATATCTCAGATGAGAACTGGGAAAATGCATTACACAAACAATGCATAATCTCATGTTATTGACCTGGACTAATTCAGTTCAGGATTCTTCATCAAATACATCATAGTAGAGCCAGACTCTCAGTGAGCTATTCTACAATCAGTATATAGCTGTAAAGCAAATTTAACTCATATACTCTGATCTCGTAACAAATCGCAAAATCGTACAACTTCTGGTCTATGATATTCTAGATGTATCTGAGTCGTTTTGTAGAGATGCTGATATGACTATATTTGGAGTCCCAGGGAAGGGCAAATCAATAACACACAAAACTGAAAATGTGCTGACCTTTTCAACTCTCCTCATCTGTGTTGATCTTATGAGTTTAAATTGCTTACAATCAATCAGGATGACTGTTGTCTCATTTCAGTGTTTTTTGTTGTTTGGCAGCAAGGTGGTGAAGGATGGGAAAGAAAACCAAAAAAAGCAACAGTACATATGCTGTTATTTATGTAATCAATATTATATTTTTTCTGGATTAATTAAAACAATAATATTTCTGTCACCCTCCTGCACCTCAGTCATATTCTTGTTTTTGTCCTTTTTGAAGCATCTCTTTCCTCATCTGTCTTCTAAACTTCCTCTCACTCTGACCACCAGGCCAGACAATCTGCATTTTTGATGACATTCCATGTCTCTTCTATTCAGGAATGTTCCTTAATTCAGGTCTCTGACTCTTTATTGTTACCCTCTGTGACTTGTGGCCAAAACCATCAGTGGTGGCACTCTTGACTGCCTCCTAACATGCAAGGAAAGTTCTGGTTAAGCGTTTAGTAACTCTGTTCTGCTCTTTCTCCGGTTTCTGCTTTCTGGGCAAATTCATCTTCCTCAATTTTGTCACTGCAGCAAAGAGTATAAAATTAGGACATGTTCATTTGTGAGCCACCTTGTGCTGGTTCTGAAGAGGAAGAGAACTGGGCTCTTGAGTTTCCAGTTTGGTGTCTGTCATGGCTTCTTCTTCTTCAGTTGGATCTGTTTTCTCTGTTTTGAGCTCCTCATTTTGTAGAGGAATGGACGTTGTCTCCATTTGGATAAAGTCTTCAAGTTTATCATTCTCTCCATCAACCTTTAAGTTAGAGAGAAAAGAAGTTGAACACACCCTGATTCTTGTCTTTGTTCTCTTTTAAGGATCTCTCTTTCCTCGTCTGTCCTCTAACTCACACTGTCCGCCTGGGCAAATACTTTTCATGCTAGGGATCTTCTCTGCTTCTCCTCAATCTGTATATATTATGTGAGCCACATTCCCCAACATAAATACAGCATTCTATCTGCATCACCTTCTCTGCATTTGGAGAGTCAAATGCTGCAGGATTTGGTTTGCTGTGAAGGTTCTCTGTGTTGTTGGATATTAAATCAGTGCCATCTGGCCTGGGAGTCAATTGCGGTTGGTCAGTTTGTTCTGGTTCTTCATGTCCGCCAGATTCAGACTGATCGATCACCTGCAGAAAACATTGCCGTCCTTCGATTTATCATTTGATTATTCGTGAAAAGCAGGACAAAGCTTTATTATGACATCTTACTTTAAGTTCTATCTTCCTTTTTTGAGACCTGTTTTATATTTTTCGGTGTAGATCATTTACAGCAGCATTTCAGTGGTTTAAAATACCATCCAAATTCAAAAAGCGAAACTCGTACAGATTCAGCACATACAAAACAATATATTTAAAGAAAGTCTTCATGTTTCTCATGAGGACTTTCACAAAAATCTGAATATTATATTGAACACGCAAAACTAGATTACACTATGAGTTTCACTTTTTGGATCTAATCAGTTAAATAAACGAATTTTTAATGATTTTGGAAGTTATTTCTATGCAACTGCATGAGGAATCTTTGTTAATTCAATTCTCTGACTCTTCACTGTTACTCTATGTGACTTGCAGCCAAAAAACTCAGTGGTGTCATACATGGCTTGACTTTCTCCCGACATGAGAGGAAAGTTCAGCAACTCTCTTCTGTTCTTTCTTCTGTTTCTGGTTTCTGAGCAAATTGATCTTTCTCAAACTTATCACTGCACCAACAGCAAAGAGTAAAAAACAGGGTCAATGAGCCACCTGGTTTTGAAGAGGAACAGAACTGGGCTCTTCAGTCTCCTGTTTGGTGTCTGTCATGGCTTCTTCTTGTTGTTCAAGTGGGAATGTTTTCTCTATTTTGAGCTCCTCATTCTGCAAAGTTGAGGTTGTCTCCACATGGATGGAGCCTTCAGGTTTATCCTTGTCTTCTTCATCCACCTTGAAGTAAAGGATAAAAGCAAGTTGAACTGAATGTGACAAACCTACTCCTGCCATCCTCCTGTGTCTCAGCCTGATTCTTGTCTTTGTTCTCACTGGAGAATCTCTTTCCTCATCTGTCTTCTATACTTCAGCTCACGTTGTCCGCCTGGCCATCAATTTTTTTTTATGCACTGAATCTTCTCCTCAACATGAATTCATGCAACGAGCCATGATCACCAGCATGCAAACTGCATTTGTTTTTCTGCATCACCTTCTCTGCATTTGGAAAGTCAAAGGTTTCAAGTTTGTTGTGCAGATTCTCTGTAATGTTGGATTTTAAATCACTGCCATCTTGTCTGGGAGTTGATTGTATTTGGCCAGTCTGCTCTGGTTCCTCATTTTTGCCAGACTCAGATTGACCAGTCACCTGTAGGACAGATAAAAGCAATATTTTTTGCAATGTTGCAGTGAGATCTTGTGACATATGTGACCCAACCTTCAAACCTTTCCATGTTTTGTCACATGACAGGGACAAAACACGGAATATAGAGCTTTGGCCAAAATCGGTGATCCTTTCTGACCAAGGTACCTTCTACCATGTGTTCACTTTTTTCCCCTGATTGCTTGTGTCAAAATGTTCTTGTAATGCCTTGTTCCAACAGTAAGTTTCTTCTTGTAAGTCTTGTCGAAAAAACAGATTTCTGTAGTCTAATAACTGTCCTGACAACATATCTTACACCTGAGCTATGAGCTGGATTAATCTATGTTTACCAGTTTTGTATCTTCAGTAGGTTTCTCAACTTCAGCAGTGGTTTCAATGGATTCTTCAGGCTCCATGGATTTCTCAGCTTCCTGTTGAAAAATTGACAATGAACCTTTTCTGTTGTGCTTCAAGTTATTATTTTAACTGGCAGATACAATTGGGAATAAAAAACAACTTGTAAATGATTAAACACATTGTTAAGACGAAATTAGTCATACTCTTAGAAGTTCTTCCAGGACTCTAGCAGCTCTCTCCTCCTCCTCTCTTATCGCTTTCTGTCTGTTATATTCAGCAATCCTTTCCTCCATCAGAGCAAATTGCTCTTTTTTCTGTAAAAATAATGTGATACATTAACATCTTAACATTTTCTGACTTTCTTTGTGCTATGTCATTGCATGTAAGTATTTATAATCTTATTTCTTAGAAGATTTTATAAAAATCATATTTCTTAGAACCAAACCATTGTTTTGCATGCGTCTGTTGGTGGGCTTGTTCATGTCTAGGTAAAAGGTGGTTGAGATTTGGCGGCCATATCTTTTAGTCTGATGGGCTTAGACTGTCTAAGCCTCTGTTATCCGTGAACAGCTTTCAAACCCGTTTAAAGATCAGAGCTTTAACATGGCAACAATAGTAGAGGTTTAGAATGAGGGAGACACAGAACTGGAAGTAAAACAATCCCATTGTGGTGGGACTTGGTTATGTTGTTTTCCTAATATTTCCACTATATAAAAATTATCAAAACTGCAAAGAAAAAACTTAGGAAGTCCTTCAGAAAGTCTGGACAAGTATTAATACGATTTTTTTTTCCAATTATAGTATGGAAGCTTGAAAGCAAAGTATAAAAATACATTTAGAATTGATTTAAAACATTTGCACAGCTCTACAAGTTGAGGACAATAACTATATATAGTAAAAATACTTAATTAGGTTTTTATGTCTTCTTTATGGCCAACATATTTTGTGACAAAATACCATTCTCATCGCAGGGCACATAGTGGTAGGGTCAAGCTATGTGGCTTGTGGTCAGGCATTAAGAGAAAAAATTTAGATCCAAGCATGGTGGCCCAGTCACCCTGCTCGGTCTCGAATCCAGCAGGGAATATATTAAAAAAAAATCTTGAAAACTGATCAACAATATGTGTCGGTTGATATATTTACAAAAAAAATGTTGAAACCTATTCATCCTTTTTCCAGTACAATTTGTGTTTGGTCTATCACATGACCAAATGTCATGATAAAATGTGTTGACATTTGAAATTATGGCATAATGTGGAAAAAAATATAGATAAAAGGTATGAATATTTACAAATTTTCAAATTTGTAATGTAAAGATTTAAGATGGCAAATACTAATGGCCTCAGAGTCACAACGTCCTTACTTGCAGTGGAGCGCATAGACAGCGTACTTATGTTTTCCTGCACCGCATTTTCACAAAGACTTGCGCATAAAAAGACGGCAAACCATTTACCTACACTTTAGAGGAGGGGGAAGGGTGGACGTCTCCTGCTGGTCAATAAAAGAAACTGCTGCTTACCTCTATCTCGAATTTAGCATTAGACCTGTATTTGTAGAGCCAGTGAGCAAGATACTGGATGGGGTAAACGGGCCTTATCTCGGCTACTTCAGCTAGCCCCTCGGCCAGGCACTCCCCCAGGTGTTTCTTTATGTACTCCGAGTCCATGCTATCACTCTCCTCGCGAACACCTGCACAAATAATCCTATGAACAACACGGACATAAGAGAAGCGATTAATAGTCCAGTTAGCCACGGTGAAAACACACAGTAGGTTTTAAACTATGTAGCGCTTTTATAGTTGTACCAACAATACTTTTAATGTTTCACAATATTTTACCTGAAACAACTACAATATTAGTATTTTTTTTTTTAACTAAGCAGGAACAGAAGACAAACCTTGTTGCTGCGCGTCGAATGTAGAGCTACGTCTCCATAGTGACGGCGTCTCATTTTTTGGATTCCCTCTTCGAACAGTTCCGACCTCTTTTTTTTTTTTTTTTTTTTTTGCGTGAAGGTGGTTTAACGTCACGCAAAAAATGCAACAAATAAGTAAAGTGACCGTTTAAATATCAAAGTAGCACTATAAAATAGTTAAAAAAAAAACTAATTAAAAAATATGGGTCAAAAAAGATTAGGCAAAAATGATCAATGATATTTACTTTTTTATTCGATTTTAGCACTCTTACATGACTTAGTGGTGTGTAGTGGGTATGCACAGAAGCTTCAATTGTGAGCATTCTGCTGCCATCTAGTGGTTACATTTCACATCCGCACTTACGATTGTACTTTAATTCGTTTTTTTTCTTTTCTTTTTTATGTTGGGGACGTATTGGCTGTAAGTCCTAGTTAATCACAGTTGTTGGGGAATAAATGCTTTAACTATGTGTGTGCAAAAAAAAAAAAAAAGTACACTGATGATTTTCACGTTGTGAACTGAGAACTACTTATGTGAACCTGAAGGCTGCGAAGGCAGCAGATGGTATCATGCGCATCATCAGATGTAACCATTCATTCAGGTGGACGGAGTGCGCTCCGCTGTCCGGGTTGCAGTCAGTGCCACTCTGCGAGACCTCGGCGTTCCTCCTTTGATCTGTGTTTGCGGCGGTTCTGGGGTAACAGAACCGCCTGAGCGACCAGCTGTGTGGGAACGGGACGTTGTCAAAGGTCTGATCTGACCCCACCTGGCGCAGCTCCTCCGGTTTCACTGCGGGAATCCTGAGTGCGTCAGGAACAGCTGGCCCGCAACCCGCCACGGCTGCCATAGGCGGGGGGAAATAACGTTCAAAAGCGTCTCAAGGAGATACTTTTATTGATACACAGGGATTGAGTGGAATATTTGTGCAAGGTAAAACACTCAACACTCATGCTGGTGTGGTGCATGAACTCGCTGGTTGTCAGGCTGCAGATTTTTAGAAAATCTGGTCACATATGACCAAGTTTCATTTTTTCTGAAGAAAAAAAAATAATGAGGGGGGGTCATTTTTTTGGTTCTAATTATGGTTGGGTTTTCTATTTTTTACTCCATTAAGTTACAATTTTCTACAAATGATATAATATTTTCCTGTCTGAAAGTGTTTACTTCGAAGCGGAGCACTGTAAGGACTTTATCTCTTTCACTTTTCATTTTAAGCTGAGCAAAACTCGTTTCTGTCAGCATGAGTGCTTTTATTCAAACACCTGCAACATTCAGCCTAACAGGGATATTTGAAGCAGTACTTTTATGTGCATGTTGTCTGTGAAGAAGATCATCATTTTATTGCACAATATTGTAAAAAAAAGTTTGTTATGCTCAGGTTTTTGTCCTCACCCGGGAGGTGAATGATCGGCTTCCCTTAAACACCATGTTGGAAGATTTTGAAATCTTCTGCCCCTGCCTTTAATGCCTTATCCCTCAGAGGCAAAGTGTTATTTTTAGCCTATGTCTTCATGGCAAATTGGCGATGTCCCTTGATGCTGTGGATGCTCATAAGTAACCATTTCTCTGCCGTTAGTCCATGTTACCCATACCAGTGATGTTGGAGCCTGGAGACAACCTGCCTCCAGGCACACAGTTGGAGCAGATCTTTGGACATGGTGGAGAACGTTGAGGCTGGTGTTCATTTTTGATCCTGTCAACAGAGAACCTGAAACTCTTATATAACAGGATGGGCTCCTGAAGGCCCAGTGGTAGGGGCTGATACAACATCTTTAAGGTCTTGATGTGCATCGATTACCGAGATTTGGCTTAAATATTCAGCTTAATTTTTTTTCCCTGCTTTTCCGGAGCATTTATTCCAGGTATTGTATGTAAATGTGCACGTTTCCCTTGTCTTCTTCTGCCTGGGAGTGTTTGTCCACCTTGCATCACATGTACTTGGATGCAGAACATGTTGGTTTTGAGTTTCTTTCACCAAGTGAGCTCATGTGACTAGTTGGCTGAGACTCCGTATTTAAAAGGTGAAGTGAGGTTACGCATAACTGCAACTCTCTCCTAATAAATAAACCTATTTCTTTACACGTATAGTTACTTACTCAAATCTGACTACTCGTACTTAGACACAAGCAGCTTGCTTTGGTTTTCTCTGGGGTTTTTTTTTGGAGCTAGTAGCTCCACACGGTCCCTCATGATATGAAAGGGTTATTGTCCATATCACTTCCAAATCTCAAATGTCTGTCCAGTCAGTACAAAGGCCAAATGGGTCAGTTTGAGACAGGAGAAACTGTGTATAAGGTTTGGGGGTTAGGATTTTACATGTAAAATGAAAGCATTCACAGAGCAAACATTTGGGCTACAAACACAAAAGTTCTTGTGTTAGAAAACTAGCAGTTACGCTAAGGCTTGGCAGAGTAGAGACTGTATAACTGGTGGCAAATAGAGAACAGTACTTGACGGAAACCTTTTAGAGGGTACAGAAGATTTGAGACTGGAATGAAGGTTCACCTTCCAACAACCCTAAACACACAGCCAGAGCCGCAATAGAATGGTTAAAGTTACAAATATTTATGTTAGAATGGCCCAGACAAAGTCTGAATCTACAGTCAGTTGGGAATCTTTGGCAAGACTTTGGAATCAGTGTTCACAGGTACTCTAAGCTTGAGCTATTTTGTATATGAATGTGTCAATGAGCAAATGTGCAAAGATGGCACCGACATACTTAAAAAGACTAAGAGATGTCACTGGACTGAAATGTAAACCTACAAAATATTGAGTTCCAATAAAAATACAGTGTTTGTGGTAATAATGTGAAAAAAGTGTTTCCTTAATGCCAAAATCTATCAGTTAACTAAGAGCATTTAGACGACGTTTCTACAAATTCTTGCTTGGATCTGTAAATGTCCACAGATCTGCAATGGAATCACACAAGATGTTCTCTAGATGTTAGCCGTAAGCCCATTCTAAGACACAGGAACCCTTATTTCACCCCTACGAACCAACACTGGCTTGTGATAAAAGCCAAAAGGCTAGTTGGGCTTGTTTCCGGAGGCGAATATTGGCATTCACATTCCATGGTTGACTAGTGTGACAGAGAAGTGTCTACATTACCCGTCTATATCCTCAGCCAGAATGTCACAGGTCATATTGGTCTTTGCTAACCTGCAAAATGATACATATGTATTACTGTCAGGGAAGTCTTCTGAAGTCACTTTTTGTTTTGTTTTTTTTTCCCTCCATCGTCCTTGGTTTCTCAGTTTTCCAGCAATTCCTAATTTGGCTTACATACATGTAAAGTGGAAAAAAAGAACACAAACAGAGCCAGGCAAAGGATAGGTGACCATCTGCATGAAGCAGTTCAGAGGCTGAAGGTATTTTCCACAAAAAGAAAAATAATGCATATACCAAGCATGCAGGGAGTAAAGAGTGGCGAGAGACAAAAAGTGGTTATGCCAAGTTATTAACACAAGTATATCTTAAATTATAAATAATTAGTACTCCAATGCAATATTTTTTAAAACAAAATTATTGCATTTTTACAGTTTAGATAGATATGGACAAAATGTAAGAAAAACAATATGTTTTTAACCTTTTTCCATTTTGCAACAGAGAGTACAATAAAATACTCTTTGCTGAACAAAATTTTGTAGTGCAAAATTGAGATTTTTTTTTTCCTATTTATGTAAGTAGATCTGAAATATGTCCCATGCATATGAATATCAATTTTGCACACCTGCAATATTTTTTTAAGTTTTGTGATGGATGTTCAGTTAAATGTTGGATTTTGGTCTGGATTTTAACGGCTCTATGCAAATACACATTAATGGTTCACTGACGCTGCTAAAAGGAGATTCTTAATCCCAGTGTTGTCATGATGTGTTTTTTGTGATGGACCCAAAAGCAGCAGGCTAGAGTTGTCAAATGTAGTTGAAGATTTAAATATAAAAAAGAAGAACAAAAAACCACAAGAAAAACACAAACCATCAATATATACACAATATATTGTGTGTATATATAGTGTATCTATACACAATATATATATATATATATATATATATATAATATATATATATATATTATATATATATATATAATATATATATATATATATATATATATATATATATTATATATATATATATATATATATATATACAGAAACTATTTCTGGTTTTGGCAAAAATAGGATAACTGTCACATTTAACAAAGCAATTAGATTGGATTAGATTTTTTTGTCACTAAAACTGATCATTCAAAAATAGACTTAGCTTTTTGATTTTTGAGTGACTCACGATTTTTGAGTGACTGATACAGATTATGAAAAAAAACATTCATTTCCATCCCCTGTACAAGACAAGGCAACAGTCTAATGATAGGACTTTTTTTTTGACACTGGCAGGTTTTCAGTTTTGAGATCTTTAAAAATGGACATTTGATGGCTTCAGCAGTTACATCTTGATGTAACGTAATCAGGAAATGCTCCCCATAAGGCCAATGAGAAACACATCTACTTTCATGATGTGTATTTTAAGGTTGGCTCACTGTTGGGAGCAGTGGGGCCCACAGCTCCCAGAATGGGAGTTTTGAAAAGCAGCGATGTGAAGGACCCAGGAAAGAAATAAAAATGCACAGGTAGCAAGGTGGTTTTGGACCCAATAATCTCTGTTGTGACTGATTATTTCAGGCTACCAAAAAGGAAGGGAACTCCAGGGCCAGAGTCAGGCAGCTTTCAGTAGGGATCGGGTTGAAGTAATTTTTCTGCTTGAAAGATGGCCGTTAGTGTCACCTATGAGGGTAGAGACAGAGGCACAGAGGCTTGGTGTGTTCAGGGTCCCGTGTAAACTAGAAGGAAGCAGAGAAGAGTCAGTAAGCTAAGCTGGCATGCTGTCCTGTTTATCAGAGGGATGTGAGACGCAGAGCGAGGGAGGAATGAGCAGACTCATCGGGCTTCTGAAACACGATGCTCCGTCCTGATTGCCTGGAGCAGCTGTGCAGCCACCGTATCTTTGTGAGCGTGTGCGTCTCTGCACAGGATGCATGATTCTGTGTTCAAGTTGCACGATTCAAAGA